TTCATTTTAATTCCAAAGTTATATCAGATAACGCATTTAGAGAGTTTGAATATAGTACAGAAAAAGACAGATGTATGGTTTATTGGTTTATTCACAATAAAATACAAATTGAAATATTGTTCATCCTGACATTCTAATGGTGTCGATTTTTTCATTTTCTGTTTCTATCGGCGCTTCTTCTGAAGCGACAGAAGGCTGTGTGCCGTAATTTAGATCGATGGCAATTTGCCGATTTCTATTGTCACATCATTATCTGTTGGCCGATACCTGCCTTCTACTTAGGACATGTTTCTCCATTTTATTGGTAATTGTAACAACATTTATGAATTAATTAAAGCAACGATAACCACTGTTAAAACAAAACTAAAGGTGCCCTCACACCATAGTGATCATCTGTTGCATATTCTGACGAAAAGATGTTTTGGACAACTCAGTTGCATGAAACTTTCGAACCGCTTTTCCTTTTCGTCATCATAAGCAACATACGATCACTAAGGAATGAGTTATCAGAGGCATTGTTACATCATACATGGTGTGAGGGTACCTTATATGATTGTTGTTGCAATATAGAAGATTAAAAACTTCCCAGAAAATTTTATACTTCATCATTTGTTCAATTTAATTACTAGTGTAATCGCTTTAAAGAAACGACTATCAATTTTCTTAAAAAGTTAAATGATTCGTGTCGTGAATTTGCAGGTTTATAATTTGAAGGTTATATATCATCTTTTGTTCAAAGTAATAATTCTCTTATTTTCATGAAAAGTAATGAAAATGTCAGGAAAGAGATTGATGTTTCTAAGACTCTGGAGTGAATAAAATACGAATTATATAAATTGATGGAAATATGGGGTCAAGGTTGCTTTTAATATGATTGTCCATACCTGGTAGTTACGTCTAGTCGGTCTTGCTTCTTATTAAATACATATAATATACGAGCAGTATCCAAGATGTTCCAGGTCTCGGTGAGAAATTTGCGACTTCTAAATAAACTTATATTTCAACATAACCTCCATTGACATCAATGCATTGTCCCACCGATCCTTCAGCATAAACTAGTTTAACCTGTCTAAAATCGTTGGCACTCAAGTACAGATTTGTGTCGAGGAAGCCGTCAGTATGATCTGAAGAATAAGCTGGGTGGGGCAAAATCTTAAAGCGCTTACTACTAACGACCCTACAATCGGTCTTTTTTTTCAAATGTGTGGGGGGTGGGGGGACTTGTTTGGTAGGAATTTATTTGTAGAACGCGAGATTCATGACATCCATGTACAAAAATAGTGATACCAGCAACGGATGCAGTTTGATTTTGGGCTATGAGTGCGAAACTCCTCGTTACAAAATATTCATATATAACATCAACATTCATAGCGTGACCTACTTTAATTAATTACAAAAGTAGAGCGTGAAACTATAATTTGTGTTCAAGCAATGGAACAGTTACGTTCTACTCAATCAACTGTACATGATTGCCAGAAACCATTCACTGAATTTCCCTACAGAATATTTCTTTTTCATGCTGCCACACGCATTGTATTTATGATTTAATTTATTTTTCAGAATACAAAAAAAAAAAAGAAACTCTATTGACCGGAAGAGTAGAGAGAGTAAAGATGGCTATAATGAAGTTAATGAGGAAATTCAGAAATCTGAAACGCTTAAATAAATTATTAGCCATGTCACAATTGCAGAATATCAAAAACAATGTAAACGATAACAATTTGTCGTGTTAAAAACATTCCCAGATTCAATAAGGTACGGTTTTCGTTACGAACTGTCTCAGTAGAAGCCGAATCAATACGAATTTGCACATTAATTTCATTGTGTTGTCTGTACGCAGTTAGGACCAATATCATCCGTTCAATATGGACCAATATTAATGCTTAAGCAGTTGCCCGTTAATTATCGGATTCGCTCTGTGAAATTGTGACAAAGTGGTAAGGTTGGTAAACTGTCACATTCTTGGATTGTACACGGTTAATTACTTTTACTAACCTCAATAAACTTATTGTTGCGAGAACCAGGGTTGAGCGATCAGTACTGAATGATTAATTACCGTAATCGCTTTCTTATGTTTAATACCTAAAAATATACCTACCAAGTGTGTTTGACATTACTACCTATAATGTTTCTGGTGGTTAACAGATGATTGGGTTTATATGAATTGGAACTGACTACCGTTAAACAGTCTAGAACCGTTAATACCGCCGGATTTCCGGTGAAACTGAGCTATTCGATTTAGGTGTTTGAAAGCCAATAAAACACACCTCCAACTAAGTTAATTCAATTTAACAGAATTAATAGAATTAGCAAGGTGGCCATGGTGCTATATTTTTAAAGCCGGAAAATAGTAACAACAACGCTAGTGAAGAAACCATTCAGTTCGCCGTACTTCCTGTGAAAACCTCTGCTGTTTATACGTTTTTACGCAAGATATACAAAATAGCTCTAGAACATAAGGATATCAATTTCACGATCCTTTGTCTGAAAAAGAAATATCGTTAATGAATAAAAAAAGCGGTCGTACTCATGTAACATTCCTGGAAATATTGCCAACTTGTTTTCCTTTTGGTTTTGAGGCTTGAGATACTTATGAACCTTTCCAGTCTCTGAATCGGTTTAAAAGAAGTGTACCCAAATCTACCGGTATTACTGTATTTGTTCTTCAAGGCACAGTAAATAGGATTCAACAAAGATTACTAGTGTCACATTGGAACCTTTCTATGAAAATCTTGTTCTTATAAAAGAGACATTAACACATCTGTAAGTGGCCAGATATACCAGGAATATAACGTTCTTTTCTTTCAGAAGATTACAAAATTATCTCTGTTCTTGAGCCTGCTCGTAACCTGTAGTTACATAATCGTTTTTATGTATCATTTCGACTTTAATGTAATAACCCCGTGAAGTTTGTGTAATATATGAACTAATGTAATAATTTACCAGCGGTCTATACCAATTATGGTCAATTAATCGCCAGGTGGTTTAAGACTAATGAGGTAAGCCAGTGCTTTTTAAATGAACAATCTTATGAAGCATACACTAACTCAGTGTGAATCTTGTCTAAGCAATGGTATGACTACATCATAGCTTACGAATACATATACTAAAACGAAATTGACTTAATCTTTTACACTGACATGTTATTCGAAGTGTTAAGAAAAGCTTAGTCTTTTGGTCAGGAATTAAATGACTTTGACATTATTCATAAACATCTTTCAACAACACAATATTGGCAGCTCGTTTCAATCTATAAAATTGTCATGTGACAATTTGGACGTCGTTATATAGCCTGTGGTTTCTTTGAAGATCTAACCAAATAAGAAGAAAAAGTATCAATGAAGTTCACTTTGGTGTATTGAAAGAAAGAGATTTACCATCGAGTCTCTAAGGACACATTAATAACAGGTTGTCAAACTGGTCAAAGACTGAAGGACGGAATTATTAGGTTCTGGTTGTGATAGTGGTCGTACATAACAATATGAAATAGTTGACTGCCCGTCATTACTCTTTGATTAAAGTGAAGTATAGACTATCAAATAACCATTGGTATTTGATGGTTAAGTAAATAAGGTAGGTAACGATGTTTATTAGTAGTTTATAATTTCTGGCTTGATATGTTATGAATGCTATAGCATTATACGGTATTCAATTTATTTATGTCTTTCGATATATGAAAGGTTCTATAAAATGTAAGTATATATGTCAGAGTCGGATGCTGGACCTACCTGACAAATTTGATGTGCTGACATATACTGCTCCGAGCAGATTACAACTGAAAACCGTCATTGACAGTTAATGCATTTATTTCTTCCATGGTCATTATCTACATTCATTTGCTCAGAAAGTAATCTGTGGCCATAGAAAAACGCTCTTTTTAGACAATCAGTGAAGAGAGAGTTATTGGTCATCATATGGACACAAATGTCTTTACCTATGTCAGACCGATTTAGATTACGGTGTACTAAACTGACAGATGCGGGTTCTATTTTAGATGAAGAATATAAGCTTCTTACATATGCTGTGACTATTCTAGATAACAATTTATACTCTACTGACAGATGTTGAGACCATTCTAGACAACAAAAGTACTCTACTTACATATACTGGGACTATTCTAGATAACTAATATACTCTACTGAAAGATGCTGATACCATTCTCGATAGCGAATATTCTCTATTGACATATGCGTAAACAAATCCAGACAACGAATATACTCGACTGTCAGATGTTGACACTATTCTAGATAACGAAAGTACTCTACTTTTAGATGCTGAGACTATTCTAGATAACTAATATACTCTACTGAAAGATGCCGAGAATATTCTAGTTCAAGAATATACCCGATTTATAGATGCTGAGACCATTCTAGATAACGAAAGTACTCTACTGAAAGATGCTGAGACTATTCTAGATAACTGATATACTCTATTGCAAGATACTGAGACCATTTTAGATTACAAATATACACTTCTTACATATGCTGAGACCATTCAAAATAGTTCAAGAATATACCCTACTTATAGATGCTGAGACCATTCTAGAAAAGGAAATTACTCTACTGAAAGATGCTGAGACTGTTCTAGATAATTGATATACTCTATTGCAAGATACTGAGACCATTTTAGATTACAAATATACACTTCTTACATATGCTGAGACCATTCAAAATAGCGAATATTCTCTACTAACAGATGCTGAGACAATTCCAGACAACGAATATATTCAACTGAAAGATGCCGAGACTATTCTAGATAACGAACATATCCGACTTAGAGATGCTGAGACCATTCTAGATAACGAAAGTTCTCTATTTTTAGATGCTGAGAATATTCTAGATAACGAATTTACTCTACTGCAAGGTGCTTATACCAGTTTGGATAACGAACATACTCTACTGAAAGAAGCTGAGACTATTTTAGATAACTAATATACTCTACTGAAAGATGCTGAGACTATTCTAGATAACGAAAATACCCGACTTACAGATGCTGAGATCATTCTAGATAACGCAAGTACTCTACTTTTAGATGCTGGGACTATTCTAGATAACGAATATACTCTACTGAACGATGCTGAGAATATTCTAGATAGCGAATATACTCTACTGAAAGATGCTGAGACCATTCTAGATAGCGAATATACTCTACTGAAAGATGCTGAGACTATTCTAGATAACTGATATACTCTACTGCAAGATGCTGAGACCATTTTAGATAACAAATATACACTTCTTACATATGCCATTCCTGATAGCGAATGTTCTCTACTGACAGATGCTGAGACTATCCTAGATAACTAATACACTCTACTGAAAGATGCTGAGACCATTTTAGATAACAAATATACTCTTCTTACATATGCCATTCCTGATAGCGAGACAGATGCTGAGACAAATCCAGACAACTAATAAACTCGATTAACAGATAGCGACTGTTCTAGATGACAAATATTCTGTACTGACCAATGCTGAGGCCATTTTAGATAACGAACATACTCTACTGAGGGATGCTGAGACTATTCTAGATAATTATTATACTCCACTGAAAGCTGCTGAGACCAATTTAGATAACAAATATACTTGACTTACAGATGCTGAGACTATTCTAGATGACGAATATATACTACTGGTAGATGTTAAGATGACAAATATACTCATCTGACAGATGCTGAGACCGTTTTAAATAATGAATATATCCTACTGAAAGATGCTGAGATCTTTCTAGATATACTCGACTGACAGATGTTGAGATCACTTTAGATCACGAATATACTCGACTGACGGATGTTGAGACCACTCTAGATAACGAATATCCACTGATACATAATTAGTCCATTACTGTTAGACATCACGTTCTCTTGTCACATGCATGTATTAGCATGACCGCGGATTAACCTACAGACAAATTAGGTAGCTGTTTTTCGGCCTATGGAAAATTCGACCCATGACATATTATGTAACAGTAAAAATTATCAAACAGTTAATATATTTCCGCAGGCCCTTCGAAAATTCGGCCTAGCTGGTGAGAAATTTCTTTACATAAAACATACTTAACATCCTTGTTACTTTATTATAAAGTCTCGAAACCTTAGCACCTTCAGGGATGAACAAACAGTTCTCAAAGTTAAATTTATCTACTCCTTCATCCATTTCTTTGGCATTCTTTAATGCTTCTGTGACCTATATAATGTTTTAGTTTATTATCTCCCTTGAAAAACTATTTATTTCTTCATCTTACCTAGCTGAATGTGTCAGATTAGTGCTGTTCGTAGAGATAGAACCTTACTCACCTATTATTGTTTTATTTCGCTTGATAAAAAGATTAGTCCCTAAAGGTAGCTAACTTTACTCTTATTGTATCGACCTTTTACCTATCAACCTACCCTTTGCAGGTTATCGTGTTATTTATTTTTTCTTGTTTACAAGTCGACTTTTTATTAAAATACCGTTCGATATTAATATTCCCTGGATAAAAAGTCCCTAATATGAGAAATTAGGCCCTCTACCGCTCGTTTGCCTACGGCCCAATATGTCCAAATTCCTCTACTGGACCTGGTTTCATGACATAGGTTAGCCTAATTGATGACCTAGCAGACAAACGCTATTCTATTGTCATTAATAGACGACAAACTAAGATTTTAATATTTAACGAGTCGTAGAATAAGTCTGTAGTATCAATTTCTCTGGCATTAGATTCTATAAGATAGACAGCAATAAATGGTTTAAGCATCCCATTGATAAATATTAGACATTATCAGTATAATTATGAGTTGTCCAGAGACTTTCTGTATTATGTGTTTGGTAATACTGTGAGTGGTCTCAGATACTGTAATATAATATCAAAGGGGAAGTTAAATAAACAAAAACGTCTGACAGAACATGAATATAATACTGTTAAAGTGAATAATGATCACTTAGATCTCCCGCATGTATTATAATATATACAATTCACTGTTTAAATTATTCTGTGCTTCTGACTGGTGTAAAGTAGATAGAGTACAGAATCATACTTTCGGCTGAACTTGTGGGATTCACCTTTTGAATAATGCTAAAATGTGAAATAATGCTTCTTAAGATGTGAATACGGGTTACAATACCCGGTGCTCCGTATGGGAAAAGCTAATCGAAGTATGCGTTAGGACCTGATGCGGGGACAATTTTTGTTTTCTCCTTATCTCTCCTATGCCGATATTGCCACACAGTAGGCCTACGCAATCGAGAGTTTACCTCGTTTGGTGCACAATTAATTGGGTCGGTAGGATTTAAAGTTAAAATAGATACCATCCATCTTGGTTGTTGATTATTCGAAACTAATTTCGCTTCTAAATCTGTGCTTAATTATACAAAATCTGTAAATAAAGGTATGTAATGTTGTAAAAATGTTGTTGGGTGCACCTGTTTTCTTAATTTTATTAGTCTATAGGTATGGCGGGGGAAAGCGGCAAAAACCTAATGCTATGCAGAAATGTCTAATTCAAAACACAAATGTAATATAATGCAATAACAAATACCTAAAACGTCTTATGCAAAAGAAAATACAAGACACCTCTGACACAAAATTCCTTATACGTTAAATGCAAAAGACATTATACAAGAAACCTCTAATACAAAATACATATAACCTCTAATGCACAATTGATTTTACAACGTGAAACATCTACCATAAGCATTAGACGACATATCTCGTTTGCATTACCTACATTTCTTCCATGTAATATCTATATTTAGGTCAATGATTTCTCCCAAAACTGGCGATGTATAGGCTTCATCATTGACTGGCCAGTAACACAGTCAGGCATGAAAATAACATATTGGAATTTTAGCGATATTCACAGGTCTGAAGGCACCATGTGATTCAGTTTGTGCCAATTCCATCCAAATATCTGCCCCACTCCCATTACTGTGGACTGTGCAAAAATTGGCCATTGGTCAAAGGGGCTTCGTCTTTGACTGGCCAGTCCTCAATACTGGGGATATTATAGAAATTATAGGAATAAACAGCATTTCTACCCACTGTACACTTGAATATGTCAGATTGACATCTCAGGATCTCACTGGCACCAAAAATTTCATTCATAATTCCTTAGCAGACCATCGGAAAAAAATTTATCAAAAATTGGCCTTGTAGAGGCTTCGTCATTGACTGGCCAGTAACACAGTTAGGCATCAAAATAACATTATGTTGGAATTTTAGCGATATTCACAGGTCTGAAGGCACTATGTGATTGAGTTTGTGCCAATTCCATCCAAAAATATGTCCCACTCTCATTACTGTAGACAGTGCAAAAATTGGCCATGTAGGGGCTTCGTATTTGACTGGCCAGTCCGCCATATTGGATATTCGTCACTGGCCATATTTTAGAAATTATCGGAATAAAGAACATTGCTCCTCATTGTAAACTTAAATATGTTAGATTGGCATCTTAAGATCTCACTGGCACCAAAAATTTTATTCATAATTCCATAGCAGACCATCGGAAAAAAATTGGCCATTTATCAAAAATTGGCCTTGTAGACGCTTCGTCATTGACTGTCCAGTAACACAGTTAGGCATCAAAATACCATTATGTTGGAATTTTGGCGATATTCACAGGTCTGAAGGCACTATGTGATTGAGTTTGTGCTAATTCCATCCAAAAATCTGCCCCACCCCCATTACTGTGGACTGTGCAAAAATTGGCCATGTAGTGGCTTCGTCTTTGACTGGCCAGTCCGCCATATTGGATATTCGCCACTGGCCGTATTTAAGCAATTATAGGAATAAAAAGTATTTCTCCCCATTATACACCTTAATATGTTAGATTTGCATCTCAAGACCTCAATGGCACCAACAATAGCATTCATAATTCCAAAGGAGACCATTGGAAAAAATTTGCCATTTTTCAATATCCATATTGGATATTCGTCACTGGCGAAAGAAATGTTGATAATTATGTAATGATTCTATTCATGACACGACGTTTAGAGGCTTTATTTGAATAAGAAATGAATTACAAATTTTTCGTTTTTTGATTGAATTACAACAATCACAATTAATCCATAAAATTAGTGTATCCATCAAAATCCACAAAAATTGGCCGGCCACTGAAGTAATGACGAAGTGTCAATTGAAAGATTTTATTCTTTCATAAAGGATGTGATTTTGTGGTATTTATAGAAATTAAGTATACACGCACTTGATATACACGTAATCGTACAGTGCTCTCATGCAAATACTTTAAATTCGTTGCATCGCACAATCGATAATACGTGAATATTGAAAAAAAAAACATTTGTATAGGAAATCAGAACACACATGCTTTTTTCGGTCTTTAAGGAGACAGTCCTGACTATCACTAAAAGGAATCAAATCCTTTTTTGTCCTCACACCATAGCGATCACTAGTTGTGTCAATTTCATTATTCTAAATCATAAGTAATTGATAATCGCTATTATAACGGACACGTTTTTTAAGGATGCATATACTCAATCAGGGTATTACACACTGTTAAAAACTTCATAAGGTAACCTAATTAACAGCAATGTGAAGATATCTTAAAAATTATCTGATATTGCATGGCCTTTTAATTTGTTTATGGATATGTACCGAATAACCTGGCTGTATCAGTCTAAAACGGTTCTTCGACCGAGTGATTTGGGTAGATGAATGATAACAGTTTGAAATTCAATTAAAAACCAATCTGCTTTGATGTATCACTGGCCGTGTTCGCACTCGATAGACCACTTCATCCATGATACAAATGCTTTCAATAGGATCAGTGCATCGGATGTTCTTTTATAAGGTGTAGATTTTATGAAACGAAAGCAATGTACTTCGCAAACCATGTAAACTTGTATTACGGTAATGGTTGGTAACTGACCGAGGCCCTGTGCGCTACAGGTTTTCATTATATTTTAGTGTCAAACTATTTGATTATTTGGTGTTTCATTTGAATTATTAATTGTGTCCCAGTTTGTTATCGAAATGTCCATACACCTTCCTGAGCTTAGACTGCAGTAGTTGCAGCAACTATTCAACTTCTCTAGACCTTCTGTAGTGGCAACGTGTCCCTTAAATATATATTGGAACATTTTTGCAAAACCCGAAGTGCCACAGTTCAACATGTGCAAAAAGTCAAAAATCGGCTCTGGAAGGCGTATTTCTGCATCGATTTTCTTCGGGTTTTGATTTTTACAATCTA